TTGTTAAAGGCTGCGAATCCTTTTTTTCTATTTTTATATGACATTTTTGCAGTATAAAAGCAATTGACATGAAACGATGCAAATCTAGTTTACTTATGTATACCTTATTCCTTTCGCTTCTTTTTCAGTTTTAGCAATTTAGGCAAAGTCTGCAAGGGTATTAAAGCTCCGGCTTGCCGAAGATAGCTTCCGTCCTCGTTCATATTGCAAAATGCTTGGGCATAGATCGAAAAGCAAACCACATCTTCATAGAGGAACCCAGCTCTTTCAAATATCACCCTACTCACTCCAACTACAACAGCCTGCATGTCAGACGATTTTTAGTTGTAAATTGTCGGTGACGAAATATTTTAACTTAACTCCTGATGTCTTACCTTGATTTAGGTAGTTTCCCTTTAGAGTAACATAGCAAAGTAACAAATATTTAGAATATAACTGATTCCGTTTTCAATAAGTGAGACTATACAAATATTCTATTTTAAATATATTAATATTCTTTTACTATTTTTATACCTCTTAATATTTCTTGCCTGAAAGTTAACATAATAATAAGCTGTATTTGGGTTTTACTATTGTATCCACTGTATTTGTCGAAGGAACCGTTCGGACCCTATAAACCATTCTTAATAAGGATCAAAGGCAAAAGAGTGATAGAAAATGTGAGTTTAAAAAAGAATGCCACACAAAATATGTTCTACATTTAATAATAAGGGACCCAACACCAGATAGTTGCCACTCACATCTGACCATATGGGGAGTATATGTGTTAGTATCCTAACCCAAACAACTGAAAAGTTTTTAAGTCTTTGTGAAATGTCATATCAATGTCTTGTTGACTGAAATGATAGAAGGTATAAAACCAGAATCGTGAAATTACTTTGGGCCAGAGTACCATCACGTGCAGCAGGTGAACACAACTTTTCTAGTGACCCGGCAAACCGGGTCAGTTGACTCACGTAATTTAAAGGACCGTCAAGAAAACGTGTTCGCTCTGTGAGCACCAAGGCCTCACTCTTGCTAAAGGTCTGACTTCACCTTCTACATCCAGATACGCCGCCATTAAGCTGGTACTGGCAAAGTGCGTCGACTCTTGTTTAAGTTTATACTTTTTATACCCTTGCAGAGGGTATTATAATTTTGGTCAGAAGTTTGTAACGCAGTGAAGGAGACGTTTCCGACCCTATAAAGTATATATATTCTTGATCAGGATCAATAGGGGAGTCGATATAGCCATGTCCGTCTGTCCGTCTGTCCGTCCGTCCGTCTGTCCGTCTGTCCGTCTGTCCGTCTGTTTCAATACCGTTTGCGAGCTCAGTTTAAAAGCTAGCGATCTGAAACTTTCACAGTCGTCCTAAAACAAGTGTACGCAGATCAAGTTTGAAAACCGCCCCGATCGGATGTCTATATCCTATAGCTCCCATAGGAACAATCGGATATAACTTGCAAGAATGGAAGATATTTCGCGCAGTGTAAAAGCTATTGACATAAATCTTTCCAAATCTTATTTTTTTATGCGTACCTTGATCAGAGTAAAAGCGCGTGACGATCGGACGTCTATATCCTATAGCTCCCATAGGAACAAAAGGGTAAAATCGGTTAAAATTTAATGATTTTTAGGATATTTCACGCAGTATACAAGCTATTGACATGAATCTTTCCAAATCCTATTTTTTTATGCATACATTGATCAAGGTGAAAGCGCGTGCCGATCGGACGTCTATATCCTATAGCTCCCATAGGAACAATAGGGTGAAATCGGTCCAAATTTGATGATTATCAGAATATTTCGCGCAGTGTGTAAGCTACTAACATAAAATTTTCCAATTCTTATTTATTTACGCATATCTTGATTAGGGTAAAAGCGCTTGCCGCTCGGAAGTCTTTATCTTAAAGGAGATAGGAAAAATTGTTAAAGGCTGCGAAAGTATCCCTTTTTATACCCGTTACTCGTAGAGTAAAAGGGTATATTGTATTCGTGCAAAAGTATGTAACAGCTAGAAGGAAGCGTTTCCGACCCTATAAAGTATATATATTCTTGATCAGGGTCACTAGCCGAGTCGATATAGCCATGTCCGTCTGTCCGTCTGTCCGTCTGTCTGTCCGTATGAACGCTGAGATCTCGGAAACTATAAAAGCTAGAAGATTGGCATTTTGCAAGCAGATTCTAGGAGTTCCTACGCAGCGCAAGTTTGTTTCAAAATGGTGCCACGCCCCCTTTAACGCCCACAATCGCTAATATACGATTTTAAAAATTTAAATATTTCGGAAAAGTAAAAATGCAGTTTTATTGTGTTTATCAATACCTATCGAAATGTAGAAGAAATTTTTCAAGTCGGACCATTCGTTAAAAAGTTATGCGTGATCAAAGTTTCTATCTCCATCTCCCTCGCACCCCCTTTACCTGAGTAACGGGTATCTGATAGTCGGGGCACCCGACTATTGCGTTCTCTCTTGTTTTCTATTTGTATATGACATTTTTGCAGTATAAAAGCAATTGACTTGAAACGATGCAAATCTAGTTTACTTATGTATACCTTATTCCTTTCGCTACTTTTTCACTTTTAACAATTTCTTCAAAGTCTGCAAGGGTATTAAAACTTCGGCTTGCCGAAGTTAGCTTCCGTCCTCGTTTATTATGTTTATGTTGCTGCTTCCTTTACTTATTGGGCTACGTTTGGTTTTTTTTACAAGGCAAATTTTACTTTCCAATGTTTTTTTTGAGTTCCTTAACTTTTCTTTTGATTTAGAAATGGAGATGGGGTGGTCGCTATATGAAAATTCATTGAAAGTTCTGAGAAAGTTAAATTTGCTTTCAAGAAAACCTTTGGACAACATTCATAAAATTAGCATATCTATTCAACATTTTATGTAACATCTACGATTATACACAATCGAAGCTATACATTCCTTCACGCTCCTAGTTGAACTCCACCAAAAACTTGCCAAGAAAACCTTTATTGTGATACCAAAGGCAATATTATGTTTCACATAGAATATGTTCACTCTAAATTATCTCTTTATAGGGCTCGTACAAATGTCCACAGAGTCTTGACTGTAAATAGAATTAGAAATGCGTGGTCCGGGTTTCCCATGCACTGAGGAAAAATAAGAAATTTTAATTCTTGAACAGAATTCGTGATTTAAGACCGATTTCGTCTTGAATTCTTAGAAAAAGTTAAATAATATATTTTTTTCATTATAATTTTTAATTTGTAGGTGCTCAATGTTTTTGCAAGTTTTTCCAGTTTATAGTGTGCTATGATTTAAGCATTTCGCTTTTCATTCAGAAGACTGTGACTTACAAAGTGTGTATTAGTATTGCACTAATTATTTGCCAATATCGACTTCAACTGGAATCCTGTGGGAAAGAGATTAATTTTAGTTCTTACAATTTTAATTTAAGTATCTAACTGAAAAAACTTATAATTATACACGTTACTCGTAGAGTAAAAGGGTATATTGTATTCGTGTATGTAATGTAACAGGTATGTATGTAACAGGTAGAAGGAAGCGTTTCCGACCCTATAAAGTATATATATTCTTGTTCAGGATTACTAGCCGCGTCGATCTAGCCATGTCCGTCTGTCCGTCTGTCTGTCCGTCCGTATGAACGCTGAGATCTCGGAAACTATAAAAGCTAGAAGATTGGAATTTTGCATGTAGATTTTAGGAGTTCCTACGCAGCGCAAGTTTGTTTCAAAATGGTGCCACGCCCGCTCTGACGCCCACAAGCTGTGGTCACAGTTTTGATGCTATTATGAAAATTTTAATTGATATGTATTTGTTTCGTCAATACCTATCGATTGGCCTAATAAAAGTTTGCCACGCCCACTCTAACGCCCAAAAACCCATTAAACGCTAAAGCCTGGCTAGCGCCTACATTTCCGCCTTTCATGGCGCCATCTAACGGATGACTTTGGAACAGCTGGCCAAGGTGCTAAACAGAGTTAATTCTCGATAAGAATTTCTATTAAAGGAAACGGAGTAACGGGTATCTAATAGTCGAGGCACTCGACTATAGCGTTCTCTCTTGTTTTATTAGTCCGGTTTCCCGCGGGTGAGTTCGAAGCGCATGAAAAAGGCTTAGCAAAACCAAAGAACCACATGTATACATTAGGGTTGTTAATAATATATCAAAGTATCAATATATCGGTATTTTTTTCTAAAAATTCGGATCGGCCGACTATATCCTATAGCCGCCATATAACTGATTGATCGGAAATGCCATAACTTTGGTGTTTGTTAAGTTAGGATGTTGGGATTTTCTATGGGTTTTATATTTGGCCAATCAATCCGACCTACCAAATAAGGATCGGCCGACTATATCCTAAAGCTGCCATATAACTGAACGATTGGAAATGACATAACTTTGGTGTTTTTAAAGTTAGGAAGTTGGGATTTTTATGAGTGTTAAGAATGCATCATATGAATAATTTTGGAGAATATAATTTAGAGAATATTCTGCAAGGGTATTTCAACTTCGGCTCCGCCCGAAGCTAGCTTTCCTTTCTTGTTTTTTTTTATTTCTGACGAAATTAGTAATGCATTACATTATTAGCTAATAGTCCCATCTCTGGAATATTTTTTTTAAGAATTAATAAAAACAAGAACGTTTTTTGGAATCGGAGGTCACCACGGAATGGAATGAGAATTTAAACAGCCGAATTCAAAATGGACAGTAAATTGTTCGTTAAAATCGATATTTATTTATGTATATTATCAACGAAAACTTCGGCGAGATGGATTATTGGAATAAGCTTGTTCATCGCTAAACTATTTAGAAGCATTATAGGTTTCCAAATTTTTCTGTTCCTTTTAAAATATAAAACTTTGCTGTTGTAACGACTGTATTTAAATCATAGCATCATGGCATTATTCTTCAAATAGCTTGAGACGTAAATTAATAAATATAAAACGTAAATTACTAAATGAAACTGTGTCCCATCAGCATTGCACGCATTTAAAATAAATTAGTTTCGCCAGCCCCTTATCAATAATGTGAATTTTCATACCCATCTTACTCGTTCTCGTTTTCCACTCAAGGTGTTCGATTCCAACTGGCAAATGCTACTGGCACCGCTTCTGATTTTCAGCTGCCGAATTGTTAATGGACTAGATAATGGTCTGGCGCTCGTACCTCCGATGGGCTGGATGCCGTTTGAAAGGTTTCGCTGCATCACCGACTGTGTCCGGTTCCCCAGGGACTGCATCAGGTGGATAACATTTGCGGTTTCAAGTTGCATCGTTCTAATGTTCTACCAATGCCAGTGAATCGCTAATCAGACGTACGGCGGACCTCTTAGTTTCCGAGGGCTATGCTGATGCAGGATATCAATACTTGATTATTGATGACTGTTGGATGGAAGCCTCTCGCGACGACGCCACACATGAGCTTAAGTCCAGCTTCGATCGCTTTCCCGGTGGAATGAGAGTTCTCGGCGATTTTGTGAGTTAACGATTTGTATCTCTTGACAGGCCACTAGAAATTCTCCCTTCTATTTCAAACAGATTCATTCTCTAGGGCTCAAGTTTGGACTTTACCACGATGTGGGGGAGAGAACGTGCATGTTCCGGGGGCCTGGGGCGGCAAGGCACTTTGAGCTGGATGCTCAGACCTTCGCCAACTGGGGCGTCGACTACGTCAAGATGGACGGCTGCTACGCTAGTGAAAAAGAAATGGACAGAGGATACCCCGCCTTTGGAAGGGCCATGAACCGGACGGGTCGTCCAATGGTGTACTCTTGCAGTTGGCCCTTTTACAAGTCAAAGGTAAGTTTCATAGGTTTCTTCGGGCCTGCGGAGCACCAACCCGCACTTCTTTCAGCCAGACTTCTCATTGATCGCGATGCACTGCAATCTCTGGAGGTTCGCTCTCGACGTAGAGGACTCATTTGGATCGGTGACAAATATAATGTCGCTTTATTCTAGCAAACAGAATATTCTGACTGAGCACGCTGGCACTGGTCGCTGGAACGATCCGGATATGGTGATAGCTTAATCCTCTAGTAGAGCATATCTTTAGGTAAGTTTCCGCTATTTCCAGCTTGTCCTGGGAAACTTTCGTCTGAGCTACGACGCCAGCCGGTTGCAACTGGCTATATGGGCGGTGATTGCAGCACCTTTAATTATGACCAACGACTTGGAAACCGTAAGGCCCGAAATAAAGAAACTCCTCCAGAACCGGGATATAATTGCGATTGACCAGGACCCGTTGGGTGTGCCTGGAAAAATGGTCCTGGCGGTGCAAAACATTCAGGTAAACATTACACGATTTTTCAACCCATCCAAAGAATAATGGTTGACGAGTAGGTTTGGGTTCGATCCGTAACTCCGCTGAGCAACTTTGGGACAAACTCCTTTGCAGTAGCGTTCGTCAATAATGGAGGTTTTGGTCCATGCCCTTTGTGTCCTCAGACTTTTCAGGTGACCTTGCAAAGACTTGGCCTAAACAGCCGCATGGGCTATTATGTGATCGTGAGTATACTTTGATTTGACAGACCACTATCAGCTTATATTCGATTTTATAGGACTTGTTTAACAGCACCGACAACTTAGGTTTGTTTAAGCCAAAGGATATGTTTACTACGAGAATCAACCCGGAAGGCGTTACATTCTACAAGTTCGAGGTGGTGCCGTTCTACTGATTTCACTAGAATACACATTTCAATTACTGCCAAAAAGAAAATTTTTTCTGATTTTTTTAAAGTGTAATTTAAATCTTTTATTTGTTCTAGTGTATAAGGTTAGGTAGGCAATGCAAAAATAGATAAAATTACATAAATAGAAAAAAACATATCTATATCTCAAAAGCTTTTTAAGATTACCTCAAGAGCTCTTTTAAATTTTATACGAAAATGGACAAATCATCTGTTTGCTTGAAACTTCAGATAATATGCATGTACATTATTTGTACTGAAATCTAATTAAATCGTATTTATAATAAAGTTAACGTGCCAATAACAGTGTTCTACAAAATAAAAATAATATAATACTCACGTGTTTTTGTGGTTTGTGAATATTTTTTACGATTTTTTATGTAGTACGTTTACTTTGCTCATTTTGTTCGATTTATGACCTATAAAATAAAAGATGGGTCGTCTGGCAGCAGTTAAAGGATAAATCTGCCACAGCTATGATTATTTTTCACTAGATATTTTTACTATCCGTTTTTTTATCATTTGTTTATTAAGCTTAGAAGAATACATAAAATAAATTTTAAAAAAAATTGTTTTTATCGAGTTATTCGTCCTTGAAGAAGAGGGGGAAAAAGGTCGTGTCCTCGTCGCCATGATTTCTGCCCTTATTGTCATCTGAAAAATAAAACAATGATAGATTCTTAATGAGTACGAATGTCGCTATGGCATGAAGCAGCAAAACTAAAAAAAAATTTTTTTCCCATTTTACTCAAAAACAAGAGAGGAAAGCTAACTTCGGACGGAGCCGAAGTTGATATACCCTTGCAGAATATTCTGTAAATTATATTCTCCAAAATTATTCATATGATGCATTCTTAATACTATTCTGTTCCTATGGGAGCTATAGGATATAGAAGTCCGCTTAGCACGCGCTTTTACCTTGATGAAGGAATGCATAAAAAATACGATTTGAAAAAATTTATGGCAATAGCTTTCACACTGCGCGAAATATTCTGAAAAACATCAAATTTGGACCGATTTTACCCTATTCTTCCTATGGGAGCTGTAGATTATAGACTTCCGATCGGCACGCGCTTTTACCCTGATCAAGGTATGCATAGAAAAATACGATTTGAAAAGATTCATGTCAATAGCTTTGATCTGCGTACACATGTTTTGGGACGAGTGTTAGTTTCAGATCGCTACCTTTTAAACTGAGCTCGCAAACGGTATTGAAACAGACGGACATGGCTATATCGACTCCCCTATTGATCCTGATCAAGAATATATATATTTTATAGGGTCGGAAACGTCTCCTTCACTGCGTTACAAGCTTCAGACCAAAATTATAATACCCTCTGCAAGGGTATAAAAATATTATAAATTTCAAATTTTTATTATACCCTTGCAGAGGGTATTATAATTTTGGTCAAAAGTGTGCAACGCAGTGAAGGAGACATCTCCGACCCTATAAAGTATATATATTCTTGATCAGGATCACCTCCTGAGTTGATATAGCCATGTCCGTCTGTCCGTCTGTCCGTCTGTCCGTCTGTCCGTCTGTCTGTTTCTACGCAAACTAGTCTCTCAGTTTTAAAGCTATCGAGTTGAAACTTTGCACACACCCTTCTTTCCTTTGCACGCAGTATATAAGTCGGAACGGCCGGGATCGGCCGACTATATCCTATAGCTGCCATATAACTGATTGATCGGAAATGCCATAACTCTGCTGTTTGTTAAGTTAGGAAGTTGGGACTTTCTGTGGGTTCTATATTTGGCCAATCAATCCGACCTACCAAATTTTATAAGGATCGGCCGACTATATCTTATAGCTGCCATATAACTGATTGATCGGAAATGCCATAACTTTGGTGTTTGTAACGTTAGGAAGTTGGAATTTTCCATGGGTTTTATATTTGGCCAATCAATCCGACCTACCAAATTTCATAAGGATCGGCCGACTATATCTTATAGCTGCCATATAACTGATTGATCGGAAATGCCATAACTTTGGTGTTTGTAAAGTTAGGAAGTTGGGATTTTCTATGGGTTTTATTTTTCGCCAATCAATCCGACCTACCAAAGTTCATAAGAATCGGCCGACTATATCTTATAGCTGCCATATAACTGAACGATTGGAAATGCTATAACTTTGGTGTTTTTAAAGTTAGGAAGTTGGGATTTTTTATGAGTATTAGTTTGCGGACTAGTTTGCGTAGAAACGGACGGACGGACGAAAAAACGGACGGACAGACGGACAGACGTACGGACAGACGGACATGGCTAGATCGACTCTCCTGGTGATGCTGATCAAGAATATATATACTTTATAGAGTCGGAAATGTCTCCTTCACTGCGCTGCAAACTTTTGACTGAAATTATAATACCCTCTGCAAGGGTATACAAATTTATGCGTTAATAAAAATAATTTATGCGTTATTTTTATACCCTTGCAGATGGTATTAAAATTAAAATAGAAACGATGGCAAAATGCTTCGAAAGGTTAACACAGCTTCAATGGTTTTATTAATATAGGCATAGAAATCGAAATGTAGTCGATTTGTAATAACTGCAAGGCTATTTAAACTTCGGCTGGCCGAAGTTTGCTTCCTTTCTTGTTTTTATACCCTTGCAGAGGGTATTATAATTTTGGTCAAAAGTGTGCAACGCAGTGAAGGAGACATCTCCGACCCTATAAAGTATATATATTCTTGATCAGGATCACCTCCTGAGATGAGTGCCATTTTCTTAATCAGGAAATCCAACTGCACCGGAAAATCAAATATTCGCCACGAATTTTTTTAAACTCGGCACGCGTGCCCAAAAGAAAAAAACAATATCGCTCGATTTTAAACTGAGCTCGCAAACGGTACAGAAACAAAAAAAACACCGACGGACATAGCCATTTCAATTCGTTCTTATTTACTTAAAGGGTCGTTTAATCTAATCTAATTAAATCGTATTTATAATAAAGTTAACGTGCCAATAACAGTGTTCTACAAAATAAAAATAATATAATACTCACGTGTTTTTGTGGTTTGTGAATATTTTTTACGATTTTTTATGTAGTACGTTTACTTTGCTCATTTTGTTCGATTTATGACCTATAAAATAAAAGATGGGTCGTCTGGCAGCAGTTAAAGGATAAATCTGCCACAGCTATGATTATTTTTCACTAGATATTTTTACTATCCGTTTTTTTATCATTTGTTTATTAAGCTTAGAAGAATACATAAAATAAATTTTAAAAAAAAATGTTTTTTTATCGAGTTATTCGTCCTTGAAGAAGAGGGGGGGAAAAAGGTCGTGTCCTCGTCGCCATGATTTCTGCCCTTATTGTCATCTGAAAAATAAAACAATGATAGATTCTTAATGAGTACGAATGTCGCTATGGCATGAAGCAGCAAAACTAAAAAAAAATTTTTTTCCCATTTTACTCAAAAACAAGAGAGGAAAGCTAACTTCGGACGGAGCCGAAGTTGATATACCCTTGCAGAATATTCTGTAAATTATATTCTCCAAAATTATTCATATGATGCATTCTTAATACTATTCTGTTCCTATGGGAGCTATAGGATATAGAAGTCCGCTTAGCACGCGCTTTTACCTTGATGAAGGAATGCATAAAAAATACGATTTGAAAAAATTTATGGCAATAGCTTTCACACTGCGCGAAATATTCTGAAAAACATCAAATTTGGACCGATTTTACCCTATTCTTCCTATGGGAGCTGTAGATTATAGACTTCCGATCGGCACGCGCTTTTACCCTGATCAAGGTATGCATAGAAAAATACGATTTGAAAAGATTCATGTCAATAGCTTTGATCTGCGTACACATGTTTTGGGACGAGTGTTAGTTTCAGATCGCTACCTTTTAAACTGAGCTCGCAAACGGTATTGAAACAGACGGACATGGCTATATCGACTCCCTATTGATCCTGATCAAGAATATATATATTTTATAGGGTCGGAAACGTCTCCTTCACTGCGTTACAAGCTTCAGACCAAAATTATAATACCCTCTGCAAGGGTATAAAAATATTATAAATTTCAAATTTTTATTATACCCTTGCAGAGGGTATTATAATTTTGGTCAAAAGTGTGCAACGCAGTGAAGGAGACATCTCCGACCCTATAAAGTATATATATTCTTGATCAGGATCACCTCCTGAGTTGATATAGCCATGTCCGTCTGTCCGTCTGTCCGTCTGTCCGTCTGTCCGTCTGTCTGTTTCTACGCAAACTAGTCTCTCAGTTTTAAAGCTATCGAGTTGAAACTTTGCACACACCCTTCTTTCCTTTGCACGCAGTATATAAGTCGGAACGGCCGGGATCGGCCGACTATATCCTATAGCTGCCATATAACTGATTGATCGGAAATGCCATAACTCTGCTGTTTGTTAAGTTAGGAAGTTGGGACTTTCTGTGGGTTCTATATTTGGCCAATCAATCCGACCTACCAAATTTTATAAGGATCGGCCGACTATATCTTATAGCTGCCATATAACTGATTGATCGGAAATGCCATAACTTTGGTGTTTGTAAAGTTAGGAAGTTGGGATTTTCTATGGGTTTTATTTTTCGCCAATCAATCCGACCTACCAAAGTTCATAAGAATCGGCCGACTATATCTTATAGCTGCCATATAACTGAACGATTGGAAATGCTATAACTTTGGTGTTTTTAAAGTTAGGAAGTTGGGATTTTTTATGAGTATTAGTTTGCGGACTAGTTTGCGTAGAAACGGACGGACGGACGAAAAAACGGACGGACAGACGGACAGACGTACGGACAGACGGACATGGCTAGATCGACTCTCCTGGTGATGCTGATCAAGAATATATATACTTTATAGAGTCGGAAATGTCTCCTTCACTGCGCTGCAAACTTTTGACTGAAATTATAATACCCTCTGCAAGGGTATACAAATTTATGCGTTAATAAAAATAATTTATGCGTTATTTTTATACCCTTGCAGATGGTATTAAAATTAAAATAGAAACGATGGCAAAATGCTTCGAAAGGTTAACACAGCTTCAATGGTTTTATTAATATAGGCATAGAAATCGAAATGTAGTCGATTTGTAATAACTGCAAGGCTATTTAAACTTCGGCTGGCCGAAGTTTGCTTCCTTTCTTGTTTTTATACCCTTGCAGAGGGTATTATAATTTTGGTCAAAAGTGTGCAACGCAGTGAAGGAGACATCTCCGACCCTATAAAGTATATATATTCTTGATCAGGATCACCTCCTGAGATGAGTGCCATTTTCTTAATCAGGAAATCCAACTGCACCGGAAAATCAAATATTCGCCACGAATTTTTTAAACTCGGCACGCGTGCCCAAAAGAAAAAAAAC